GGCGCCGAGGGGGTTAAGGCGGCGACCCGGGGGGCTTGGCCGCGGGACAAGGGGAAGTGCTTACACGGCACATTGCGGGCGGCGTAAACAAAGCTGCCCCGCCGCGGACCTCGGCGCCCCCCCTGACGGCCGCGCTGTCGCCCGCAGACTTCTTCGCCAAGCGCAAGAGACCCGAGAGCAAGTCGCCCGCGGAGGTGCCCGGCGGGTGCGCGGCGCAGGGCGCGCCTGCGGCTGTGGGTGCGACGGAGCAGGCTCAGCGCAAGCGCGTGCGGTAAGTGCGTGAGCGTGCGGGCGGCGCGGGCGGTGCGCCCCGACCGTCCCCAGGCCCCCAGAGCGCTCACTCTGCTTTCTCTCCGCAGCTTCGACTCCGAGTAAGCCCGAGGGAGGCCGGCAGGGCGCAGAGACACGGAGGGACCTAGGGCCTCGGCTGGGACCGTCCACGTAGCAGCGAACTGCGGTGGCCACCGCGGAGCGTTCGGTTTTGTGTCTAAAGTTGGAAGACTGTGCAATGTGTTAGCGCCCTTTGATCGAAATGTATTCTGCACGATAGTACACTGGTCCCAGGTTGTAAAGCTTTAAGAGCCATTTATATAAAGTGTTTAATCTCTGCTGAATCTCAATGCTAAAAAAAATGAAAAAAAGATAAAAAAAAACAAAAAAGCATGTATATTTGTACAAAAAGTATAAAAAGTTATACTAACTTATATTCTATTTATGTGGCGGCGTGGGCCTGGGTACCTGGCCACCACATGCTGTTTCCTGGGGGGTTGGGGAGGGCACGCCCGCCCCGCGCCCACAAAGCTCGCAGACTCTTCTTGCTTTCGCTGTCGCTCCTTCTCCACGCTCTGTAACTGCAAGCCAAGCCTGTTAACACGGTCCCTGCCCGTGCTCCCTGTCCGTGCTCACGGGGATCTAATAAAGAGCCCGAGAAACGCTGCAACTCAGGGTGCTCTCTGCTTGAACCTCTTCTGCTTGCTTCTTCTCACACAGCCTGACCAGCCAGGGGCAGGGACAGCCAAGTGGCCCCAAGTGGCCACTTAGTAGAGGGGCGCGCTGAGGGGAGGGCGCTGGGCAGCACTGCTTTGGACACAGGCCTCCAGCAAACCCAAGGGGTCTGCACTCACCTCACCTGCATCTCCACCTGGGGGGGGGCGGGTATTCCAGTCTCACATGAACCTCACAACACTCAGATCACGCCACACTTGGCCAAAGGGGTGGGCTGCCTCCTTCGAGGCTGGGTGGGGGAGTCACAAACATCAAGGCTATTTAGCCTGACTTCATGAGGGCCCCGACATCATGCACCTACACCAAGTCCCAAATCTCATAAGCCTCGCACAAAGATGGGGCCTCAACTTCTGGGTGGGGCTGTGCAGCCCCAAGACAAGACGTTCAAGGTCCCCAGCTTTGGGGGCTGGGCTTCCACAGGGTCCAGCTGCATAGCGCTGCTGTCCATGGCTGTTGGACTGGTGGGGGAGGGGTGGCTCCGGCCTGTGTGAGGTGGGGATAGTGGTGGAGTGGGCACCAAGGACCTTGGGCCCTGCAGGGGCTGCTGGGAGAATAGGAAGCTGTGACCACCCCTCCACAGCCCCATCCCAAGGTGGCTCCACCGGTCAGTCTTCTGAAAGTGTAGCACTGCCTTGCAGTCAAAAAGGAGGGGTTTATTTTTTTATATCTGACCCATAAACCTCTGTGAATTCTGATTTACAATGCAGAGGGTGATGTAAAGTAGCAAAACCAGGGCAGCCAGCAGGGTTTTCTTGGGTGCGCTTGGCCCGAGGGAACGAAGAACAGTGGTGTGTTTTCTTACATTAACCTTGCTGCAGCCAGAGCATGGCTGAAGCCAATCCCATACCCCACATCCCCCACAGGCCCCCACCCCACATCCCCCACAGGCCCCCACCCCACATCCACTACAGTCCAGAGACAAAGCCCCGAGTCTCAAGATGCATTTACACGTGGATGTACCATAACCTCCCCCAACAATGACCAGAAAGGGTAAGGGGTAGGGCTGGGCCTGAGCCTGTGGACCCAGGTGTGGAGGAGGTCGTGGAAGGAAGAGGACAGTATTCTTGTCTCCCCAAGACCCTCCAGTCTGACAGGAATCTGGAGGTAGCTGGTTAGACCTGACCCCAGGCATGGGGCCTTTCCTGGGGCGGGGCCCACCTGAGTGGCCAGGACAAGTCCACTGGACTCTGGGGGCCAGGCCACCTTGGTGCTGGCCTGCAGAGGGGTTCGGCGTGTCTGGCAGGGGTCCTTGGGAGACTCAGGTGACTCAGTACAGAGAGCTTATTGATGGAAAAAGTCCCTGGGCTGGTGTCCTCAGAGCTGGCCCACCTGCCAGGGACAGGGACGGCCAGGCTCAGTAGCCTACTCTGGGTCTCAGAGTCTGGACAGTGGCCTGAGGCTGTGGCCCACCTGCTGTCCAGCTTACTGGTGTCACAAGCAGAGCAGCCCTCCCTCTGGCCAGGTCCTGCCTGCAGGACCTTGAGCCCCTTCCCCAGCCAGACAGCGCTGGTATCCAGGCAAGCCTGGGCGAGCCCTGCTTTCCTTCCATGGGCCTCAGTTTCCCCTCTGGACTGAGAAGTGGTAACAGTAGTGTCCTGTCATTCTCACACTGAAGGGAAACAGAGCCTTGAGCCCCACGGGCCATGCCCTCAAAGCCTCTTCTCGGGGACTCTTAGTGCCAGGGTCAAAGACATAGTCGCCAGGAGTGGGGGGAGTCCTTCTGGACGTGGGCCCCTGCACGAGAGACACTCGTGCTGGGAAAGGCCTGGACACCTGCAGGGCCCCTGGGAATGCTGGGCCTCCGGATGCTGACGGAAACAAGGGTTTTCCTTGACAATCCACAGACGGAGGCCTTCCTCCAGAGCTGTATCCTGAACGTGAACTTACAGCCCCTAAACAATAGAAGAACACATTCTTTTTGTTAAAGCAAAAAAAAAACACCCCAATAAAACCAACATACAAAAAACCCCCAAAACCACTCCAGCCAATTAAAAAAACCCAAAACCAAACAAAAAGCCACAAAAAAACCCCACACAAAACACCCGCCCTTGTCTGTGCACAGGACACAGGGGGCACCCTGCGTGCAGGGCCCAGCCTCTCCCCGTGCGCCCCAGCCGCATGCCAGCCCAGGCCCAGTGCTGGGCAGGGTGCCGTGCTGGTCCACTCAGCTGTTCACCTGCTGGCCACACTGGCCACTGACCTCAGGTGAACTGAAAACAAAACAACCCCCAAGCTGTCCCCCCGACCCCACTGCAGCTTTAAAACAAGCACAAGTGCAGTGTAAATGGAATGGGGTGA